AACAAGTTTGAATACATTCACATTGTTGACTCTCTTTATTTCAGTGCTGGTAAACACCCAAACTCACTGAGATGCGGTGGATTACGTGAGTGAAATAATTCTCATTGTCATACTAAAAAAACCAAAATGACGTCTGAATGACCCCCGAGAGGTTTGGTGGCCACATGCAGCTCCTACTTTTCCCACCCCAATTTTTATGCATCAGTGTGGCAGCTGATTCTGGGCTTCCAGACAAGACTGGAGAAAACCAGAAATTCAGTCTATCCACTCTAGCATAGAAAACACTAGTACAGCATTACTGTACACATGGCAATATCTGCAGCTTGGAATTGCAAACTTTTGACTCTGCAATTCACAGAATCCCTGAGCCAGTAAAGCCAAGGCCATCTTGCTTGTGAGATTCTAGGTGTTGTAATCCCAAAATGTATGTACAGACATATATTACATTTTAGGGATACAGAATGATTCATATGGGATGGCACTAAACCAAATAAGAACAGCTCTACTTTTGCATCATTCTTTTTGAGTCACTTGGTATAAAAGATCATTCACACATCAGTTGATTTGTTACTCATGCACACTGATGGCCCGAATGCAACAAGAGAAAACAAAGGTTTGCTTTGAGTTAATACTCCAAATGTGTGAGAGGTTTCTGGAGCCAAGCAACTTTTCCCCACCTGTGACGTGCAGTGTACTCACTGCCTTATCATCTAAGCTGGTTGATGTGCAAGTCCTGCCTTGAATGGAAGACGCCTTGTGACTCTGAAACAGGTCTGGCAAGAATGGACATGCCAACAAAGAGACTGAAATTTCCCAGACTGAAATACCTATCTGCCTCAAAGTCAAGAGTATAAGACAATACCTCCTGTACTGTAAGAAAACTTCAATTCCCTCATACACCAGTGCCAGGTTTTATTGAGGAGTCATAGAGTCAAATGCATTTGAAGACACACGTGAAGAGGGGAATCCAAACAAGAGTCTCATCACTATCGATGTTACAAATTACTTATCAGAATCAGCAACAAATACAGATTTCAGCAGATACAGAACAGGCTAAGTACTGCCTTCTGCCCTGAGTAAAGAACTAAAGGCTTGGCTGATAACAA